TTTTTTTATTAAAAATTATCTGTTTGCAATCATCTCATCCTTCACTACTATTCTATTGCTCGCTCATAAAAACAGATATCCCAATAAAATTGGCTTTAAAAAAGTAACTGTAAGTAATTCACACTTCTTGTTTTATATAACAGGACCATTATACTTCAATATCATAAAAAAACAAAATTTGAAGCAAAACTCTCTTGGCCAATAGGCACTACTATTTCAATGCTCGCAACTGTATGTATGCATGCTCCCGTGCGAAGCCGGGACGGGCTGCTAGTATTTTAAAAGTTGAAAGTATTTAAATTTTCCTCAAACCATTTAGTATAGACTTATACAGTATGTTATATTTGATTATTTTTCTAACCCGAAGGCACCATTTACAAGCCTCCAACCACAGCTGAATGAGATCACACGCAACACAGACGGTTTCATGCTCTACGCCAGTTCCCTACAGCTGCGCATACACATCGACGATCCACGTTTCATATCAAAAAGTGAAATTCTAGAGCTGAAATGTGTGGCGGATATAATGGGCATATCGAGTGTGCGGCGCGAGAGCAAGGTGCGGGCAACGATCTTGGCGCTACGCGATGCTGGACACAAACAACGCTTGCTGGGGCAAGGTAATGGCGCTAGCGCATCCAGCAGTGGCAGGTGTTATGAAAGCATAGGTTAGTTACATAATTACTTAAAAGATTTTGAAAATTGTAAATTTCTTATGCCATTTGTTTTGTGATATTTTAACATATGCATACAATTTTTTTTTTTTTCTTTTTTTTTCAGTATTTATGCATCCTTGGGTATATTGGCTATGTTTCCTATTGTTTTTGCGAGGGTCCCTACAGCCAACCAACTGTCATTGGAGTTAGCTGTCTACATAGGAAGTCAAATCTGAAAGGCCTGCCAGCTTAGAGCATAACTCTAACTTAGCAAATTAACGTAGTTTTAAGACTTAGTTAAATAAGCAAACACCTAACCAAAACATAAAACAACATTTGAATCAACTACTTTGCAAGAAGAAGGATGAAGGAAGCATCATACATTAAAGGAAACATAGAAACGAAATACTCGCACAGAATTTAGGTAAATTAAAGCTTAGCGGCACTAACACATGAAACACTCACACGAACATGTCCAAACATGAAAGTAAAATTACCAAAACGGTGAAAAGGCCAAAGATAAAAGCAGTGATTAAGCCTACAATACTGGCATGATCCATAGCGAATCGTTAGCTTAGTTAATTATAAGGAACCTATTAATATGATTAACACCGCATTAAACACACTTAAGGATAGGCAAATAGGCAATGAAAAAATTCGGTGTTCAGTGAAGAGAAGCACATTTAAATTACGTTAAATTAACTGCTAATTACTTGAGTATCTCAAGAGCTCATTCGCGGCATAAAATACCTTATAAGAGATATTGTAAATAGTTATTTACTGTTAAGTGCTTACGTCAATGTGATTACGAAATTTGTTGATTTTAAAAACACTAGCGCCATTATAAAGACATATATATATATAATTTTAGTGATTGACTAAGTATGTTACCTACGATATAAATTGTATTTTTTTATGTAATTCATGATCATTTAATAAAGGAGACTCATTGCATTAACCTAAAATCATACTGAAGTACTTATAATTCAACTACAATGGTGAATTCAATCGACGTCATTATATCACTTCAAGACAAATTTCGTGAAGGTCGTCCAAAATCAGTAATAGACTGTAAAAAATAATTTGTTCTCACAATTTTTCAATCGCACAAACACAGGAAACTCGTATCGATTGGTAAAGAGTAATGTTATAGAAATTTAATAGCGACGCACTAAGGGGTA